TATATATATATATATATATATATATATGTATATATATGTGTGTATATATATATATATATATATATATATATATGTATATATGTATATATGTATATATGTATATGTATATGTATATATATATATATATATATATATATATATATATATATATATATATATTATATTGTAAGCACCGCAATCACCATCACTGACGAATATGTTTTACTGCAGCTCTATTGTAGTCACAGGTGGGAGGAATATTTTTCAGCCAAAATGATGGCGAATCTTCGAGTGTACGATCATCGTCAGTGTCGTCCGAATAGGGTAAGGCTGGCTGAGCGTGGGCGAGCTCATTGAGCACCGAGTATGCATGCACCATCATATGCACATAATCACTTAACATCCAGCTCAAGCAGTAACACTGCAACAATCTAACTGGATTGAGCATGGCATTGTCAAGGCCGTCGTTTTGTTTGTCGCACGTTCGAACTGCAGCAGGGTCCGGGAGAATAGTTTTTTGTTCAGAGTCACAACATCTTGGAGCAGTGCACCTCAGGTGCACAGCAGGCTACCAATGCGTGTTTACTGGAACAAACGGGGAAAATTCGTTCCAAACATAAAATAATTGGCCTAAGCGTAGCTACGGAATGGTTGAGAACCATTGTTTTAAATGATGCGTGGAGGAGCAGTTGCTTTTTAAAACTAAACTGCACGCAGTTTGTCGACTGGATTTTTATTTGTCGAGAGAGTGCGTGTAAAATGGTTGCGATAGACATGGACAGTCCATTCTTGTAAATATATAGACAAGGGTTGACAGCTTACCTCACTACACAATGACATATTATGGGCATATTTCGCATTTCAGTATAAAAAAGACAGGTGTGATTGCACCCCTTTTGTTACATACCAGTGGTGTGCTTCATAAAAAACTAATGCAAAATGCGGCTTGCGTATGTGATTGCTGTGGATAAACACATTTTAGCCTTTAAAATATGCCATCACTGCATCACTGTTGATACACAACGACACACACCACACCCACACACCCACCCCCACCCCAAACACGACAACACCCACAACAGCACACACACACGAACACATCTCCGACACACAAACACACACACCCCCCACACACACACACAACACACACAACACACCACTACACACAAACCACACACACACACACAACACATACACAAACACATACACACACACATTTTTATATATATATATATATCTCGTATATATCATATCTAATAATATATATCTATATATTATCCTAATATATGTGTGTGTGTGTGTGTGTGTGTATATAGTAGAATATATCGCGACTGTCCCTTTTTGGTGATTTTCACGACTTTGACGCAACCCCCGTCATTTTGACAAATCGACACCCATACCTTGTACTATATAAAGCGGTCTGCTACAACTAATTATAGCACGCAAACTGCATAACACCGATGCGAACAGATGCCTGGCAGCCTATCAAGATTCATCCACGGACACACAACTTGCAGACCCGCCTGCCAACTGATGGCACAACCACGGCCCTGTTCGATCTGTCGTCAGCACGTTTGTCAGCAGCAAACACGGTACAGTATTGTTCACGTCACGTCACGTGACCACGAAGTCAAATGGTGTGTGGCGTCATGCGCCGGCGGCCGCTGCTGGCAGGTTTTTTTGTCAGCCCAACAGGGAGAAATATTGTCTATTAATTGAAGCATTTTGAAGAACTTTTCTAGTCGACACGAAAAGAAAGCATACAACAATTTGGGGTGCCTATTCCCAACAGATGACTAGTTGCTCCTGTTATGTTCTCGCGTCATATGAAAGAATTCCTTGCAAAGGTTACAGAGTCCGAAGTTCTCTGGCCCGTTCCCAAGGACCTGCTCAAGAGAGGACACGGTGCGGAGTGCCTCGAGAAACCGCCCATCTAGTCCCACATCGCACTCGTCTGGGATCGAACGTTCGCTTCCTTGCGCACGCACGGCCTTCAGCTGCGACTCCTGGGATGCCTGGTACGGCTGTTCCGCCACCTAGCGGCCAGCCTCGTCTCCAGTGCCGGCGTAGCCGGCAACCCAGGCGACGGCCGCCTGGCGGCAGATCTCCGAACTAACCACCCCGCGGGGTCGGGCACAACCGGGCTCGCGCCATACATGGGACGACGCTCGCCCCCCCCCCCCCCCCCCCCATTTGTGCGCACAACGTCGACTGCAGGCGGCACGCGAGTTCCGCACTGCGGCGGGTGAAATACCTAACTCTCCATCCGAGCGGAACTGTCCGCGGTTACCCCATGTGCGGGCAAGTCGCCGTTAGCTCTCCGCTGCCAACGGGTGATTTCAACACAAAATGTAGTGTCTGCCCATGGGAGATTTATACTGTAAGCACATGTGCTACCGTGATATAGGACGTTGCTATCACATGTGTGATAGTAACGTCCTTATTGCAAGGTTGCACCTGACGCGCATTATGAAAATGATTTCACATTGGATGACGTATCTGTTCAAATCATCATTCCTGACGGCCTAAGAGCATATAAAAATGCACTTTGGGGGCCGACAGAAAAATGGAAACCAAAATAAGACGAATGAGTTATACTGGCAGCTGGTAGCCAGATACAGGTACCATGGCATGTACCGAGTCACAATTTTTCACTTTAATTGCAAGTATGTTTTACAAGCTACTGCATGATGACCATCACCTTTATGGGTACGCAGGCCGTCGCTAGCTCTGCGCTGCCACAGGGTGGTTTAAAGAAAATGCGTCATGTCTGTCGATGCAATAGTTGCATTGCCCAACGTTACTACCCTCCAACAACATAGGTACGGCAAGGTTGCACCCTCTCGCGAAATCAGTTGCTTGAAATAAGTATCCGGTCTTCCCTGTTTAAATCACCAGTCAGGTCGACCCTCCAGCATTGACTGATAGGCTGTCGGGGCAAACCGAACAAATCAAAGCTAAAATGGGACAGGTGCATTGTGCTGGCAGGTGATAGTCAGATGACAGTTCCATGGAACGCAGTAAACCACGATCTTCCAGTTTCATTGTCCATATTTTTGCAAGGGCACCGAATTATCCTCCATCCATCCTCCTACGTGCCAGCAAATAAGCCCTTCACAGTCAACTCACCAGCATTGAGTGACGCCTTGTCGGGGGGAGGGGGAGAGGCAATGAAAAACAAAATTAAAAACCTACAGAGGATGGGCGTGTTGTACTGGTAGCATATGGTCCGTTGATAATCCTATGGAATGCAAAACAATATAATGTTCCAGTTACAACACTCAAACATTTAATTCGATGTACGCTGCCGGAGAATTAAACGACAAACAAACGCATAAAGTCAGAAGAGTGTGGCGTACCGTCTGCTGATAGCTCAATAATAGCAGTCCTACCAAATGTACCGAAACGCAATCTCTCTAAAACAACTAGGAATTTATTACTGCCGCTGATGATTATTCCGTCGGAGGACAGGAGTACACGCGGTATCTATCACGCCACTGTGATGTAGAGTATTCTGCGTGACGAACTATCTTTTGCCGCGTAAAACACATGGCTGATCGTTATGATATAAGTTGGCATGAAGTTTCTGCTTGTTTAACCCTGACTTCGACTTTAAAGGATGACTTTGAGAGATCAGGTTATCTGGGCGGCGGGCACCGTAGGTGTCAAAGTACGTCTTGAAGCTTAAAGCTCTCGATGTGGTGTCTGTTTTTTTGTCGGCATGTCAATTGAAATCATTTCACGTCCGTATCCCGTCATGACATTTCGTGGATCTCATCCTCGAAAAAGGACGGACCTGACTGTTGTGAACACCTCACTGACATCGAATGGAGGACGTTCGGGCGAAAGCGAAACCGGATACTAGATGCTAATATGAATAATGCGCTAACTTGTTTAATATTTTTCATAGCTGCAGGTAAATTGGACCTTATAGTTGCCAGTAACTCGGTGAGGTTGAGTGAATGACGTGTGGGCAAATCCAAAACCGGATACTGAATGATAATATGAATAAGACGCTAGCTTCATGGACCATGACTCCACCAAGACATCTCCACCAAAAGGAATGAAGCGCATTGGAAAGTCTTCACTTGGCTGACGCTGGAAAAAATCCTTTCGCCACATTTGCAAATCGTTGGACGAGCTACAAATCACACGGCTTGATTTGCAGGTGCTGGTAGCATGTAAAAGTCGCCGTTGTTTGTTTCCCCATCACTGTAACCATGTAACCGTGGAGATATGTATCCATGAAGATGAATGCACCATGTTTAGCCTTCATACTCATGTCAGCAATATCGTGCAAAAAGTAATAAAGCTGTCTTACTCGCCACTGACAGCAACGGAAGAGACTTAACCTGGTCTTACAGAAATACAACGTTAAACAGAGCTGTCGATCTTCAATTGTATTGCGTTCATGCTATCAGTTAAGCCAAACACATCCGGCGTATCAGTTCTACTGAGCTGCATACTCTGGTTGATTCAGCGCACAAATGAAACCATGGGGCTTCCCAGTGTTCTAAATATAAGCTTAACAGCTGGACCAAGTTAGCCATGACATAAGGTCGGCTTATTGCTATGATGATCCAGGCACGATAACAAACGACCTCGTCACCAGAAGTTGATCTGTGATATGGACATGGCTATGGTGATCCAAGCACGATAACAAAAGACCCCGTCACCAGAAGCCGATCTGTGATATGGACATGGTGAGGGCTCTAACAAGCTCAGGGCATGACAGAAAAGCTGGTACACTGGGCTATGGATAGGCGAATGTTATTTCAACTCCAGTTTTCAGGACAACTTCGGAGAAAAACACATAGTGTTCACAGAGGCGCGGTGAACACAACGACACAAGCAGTTTAGAGATCACAATGGCTTGACATTTCACAAAGCTGTAAAGATACAGGCGAGAAGCAGGGCATGTAGTTAAGCGGCATGATACCAAAGCTGCCTCAGTCAGAAAAAGCTACGGACTGGGTTAACTAGAAGTTCATAACTTTAGGCAGTGATCGGCACCACAGGGCTCAGTTGCAGACATTCTCGAGGAACCAGTCCACCCTGTCACGGCTCTTCAGCACTCTGGGCATCTTGAACTGGCCGGCCGTGACGGCCGTGGTCGCCAGCAGGTGTGCACGGAAGCGCGAGAAGGCTCCCGGCTCCACTTGGTACACCCGGATCTTGGCGATCTTCTCCAGTTTCCGGAAGCTGGCGTATTCTTCGTCCTGCTGCCGAAGGATGTCATCCACCTGCAAACATTGACTGTGCTTACACAGCACGTGGGCGGTGCGGTCTGCGGCGCAGCTGATTTCGAGCCCTGAGACACGAGTTGAAAGACGACGCACTGTGAGAACATTGTATCGGTGCTATCGCAAAAACGTCGTCCGAGAAAGCGAGTTTGATGTTAATGGTCATGCTTTGCATGTTTCGGCGACTAATCTAAGAGCAAGCGATTAGTTCGAGGGGGGGGGGGGGGAATTGGAAAGCTGGCCCTGGACGGCCGGTTACTGACGTCGCATGCTGCTGAAACGCGCACCGCCACTGCAGGAGAGTCGGCGCCCGGTCCACTCACCAGCCCCGTCTGCTCCTCAGTCAGGACCGGGCCGTCCAGCTCCAAAAAGAGGAGGTAGTGCGGGTCCAGCAGGCCCTGGTGACTGGGCGCGAACTGGCTGCCGGCCACCGTGTAGTCCTTGAGAGTGGACGGCCAGCGGCCTGCTGCCTCGCGCAGGGCGCGGAAGAACACCTCCTCGGAGAGCTTTTCTCCGTTCACGTTCAGGTTCTGGCCTGACCTGGTCACATGACGAAAGGTCACGTTAGAGAGGTGTCCGACGGCAATCCAGCTCGCAACTTTCCGCATTTCATTTTACATGTTCCAACAGCATTTCACGTCAGGACGGTTCCATTGGCATCAAAACAAGACTGGTGAACGCCACGGCAGTGCGGACGCTGACTGCTTGGTCAGTTTGAGTTACCCACCTGAAGAGGAATTCGATCTGCGGAGCTTGCTGGTAGAAGCCCACCACTCGGACCACATCCCCGAGCCGGAATCGATAGAAGCCGGAGGAGTTGGTGATGATGACCTCGTACGTTTTGTTCAATTCCAATTGCTCACTGAGGAGGAGCTCCTTGGGGTTGATCTCGTCCAGATCGGGAATGCGGTCGTTGAAAATCGGCAGGAACTCGAAAAACATAATGCTCGGAATGAGAGTGTACCTGGGCGATCCGGGGCGGGTAGATTCGAGGTTGGAGCCCATAAAGCCCTCTGACGCGCTGTATGTGAAGCTGATGATAGTGATATCTGGACCAGTCAGAGCTTTGGCTTCCTTGTAGTACACCTCGTTCGTGCTTCCTGACCAAAGACCACTGATGCTTTTCACATCTGGCCACAGCCGTGGAATGATGCCCTTGAAACCTTCCGCGAATTCATTTTTGATTTCCTCGGCTCTTTCTGGCATGGGCGTGAGCTGTGCATTCAGTTCGGCACGAACGTGTTCAGAAATGTTCAGGTCGTCTTTGATACGACCACGACGAATGTCGTTTACGAGATCATTCTGAAAGACCTCCATTCGGCGCATCATGCTAAGGAAATTATGAACAAAGACGGTAATTATCACAGAAATGTGCTTGTCCCGAAGCCCAAAGAGCATGTGGATGTATTGCGATTCAAATTCACTCTTCACCTGCATACTGATGACAGGGCTTGTGTAGAGAGGTGCGAACAAAGCCATCGCCTTCGAATAGAATACACTGGCTGCCACACCCAACACGTGACCTGACTTGGTGTGCTGAACAGTGCGGCCATTGTTGACACTCATCATTCTCTTCAGATTCCACGGAGCGAGGTCTCGTTCTACAGCCCACCGGTAAGGACCATGAAACAGTTGAGACTGTATGTCCTTTGCTCCCTGATCCGACAGCGGAATCTTCTTGTTCTTGCCCGTTGTTCCTGATGATGTAATGAACATGAAGATATTATCTTCGTCCCCGAGAAGTGCTGATTTTTCTCCGTCTGTCATTCGGTTGACATAGCTATCCATTGTTGAATATTCTGTGATCGGGTGGTTGCGAAGGAAGTCGGCAGGGGTATGCATGGATTTAAAGCCATTGTCTCGACCGTAGGCCGTGTTCTCACACCGACGAATCCGATTCATCAGGAACTGGAATTGCACCTGCAAATGGACGAAATTGATCAGGACTGACACTAACCGCCTTGATGTAACCGTACACGACCGTCCTTTCCGGCCAGTGCTGTCGAGACAAACACGGAAGAAAACGGCAGTCGAAGCGAGCCGTGGGTCGAACCTGGCCTGCGAACTACATGTAAAGAAAAACGATGTTCTAATTTCGCTCAGTAAAGATGTTTTATAGCGCAATCAAAGCCTGTACATCAAAGTGATATCTGCAGGTGACCACGGCAAATCATTTAGGTGCAACTGTCCAAATGACCACGTCATGAGATAGAACCTTCTTTTACATTCAAAGATGAACCTTTAAGAGCTTACTGTTGCTTTGTAAGAAATACCGGAGAACGCAATGTCCTTTTCGTGCTGTCTCTCCGCGTCGGGTCACGACGCCTTCCGCTACATCTTTGCCTACGCTGCTGCGGTTCTGTTTATCCACGTCTCATATAACTCGTGCGTCCATCTTTCTTGCCCGAAGGCCAGTTCGTCCAGAGCGTTGTTTTGGCGGACGTTCTGGACGTCTTGGGTTATCATGAGAACAGTTCGGCGCATTGAGCTGAGAATCAGCGGTCGGTCACGAATCCACAGCCTCAGAGCTGTTCTAGGGGGATGCAAGGTGCAGATAAAGCGTAAATGTCAGTGCCAAACCTTGTCATTCAGAAAAGGCTGACATTTCTGGTACCGACTTCCCGCTTCCGACGTTTCTTTCTTAATGCGCACGCCGGTGGACGGTTGAATACGACGTCGCTGAGGGGGTAGGGGTCAATTCACCCCCGAGGATCTACACCAGATTCCCAAGATAGGTAGGCCGGTATGCTTATTCATTTGTGTCAAAACTTGAGATCCATGGGTCATGACCTTAAGGTCAACTAAGGTCAAAAAGGTCAAACTTAAGATCAGTGTTGTTCCTTCAGACATTATGCAACCATATTTAACTTAAATAACTATACTAAACAGTAGGCCACTGGTGTTCATTTCAGCTCAGTCACGTTAATTAACCTTCAGAATGTCATGGCGACCAAAAACCGACAAATTTGTATTGATGTTCGATTTTCCATTAGCGTCAAAGAATACGCAAGTTGTCTGTTCCTAAAGCAAGAGGTTGGTCGGAGTCATTCCGGGTTAGTATTGTCTTCTGAGTTTAATGAAGTTCAAATAGCACATTTGTTCACCTCCCTGTGCTCAACAACTTCAAAATGTGCCTCAAAAGCTACCCCGCAACTCAATGTCTCCAGTAAAAACATAATTCTGGTTCTGACCTTGACTTGACCTTGATGTCTGACCCGAAGGTCAGAAGAAGTCCTAATTTTAAATGCAATTGTCTTGTTGTCAAAGAAGCCATCTCAAAGATGCATGGCTTCGCCTAACACTCTTTCGTCGCATCAGGTTGAGCGATGCCCAAGAAATTGCCCTTGCTGCCAGCCATGGCCTGATTTTGACCTGCCATATTTCAGAGAACTTACAAGATAAATCTAGAATTGTGGTGCGAACAGAGTGGCTATTTCACTTGCTACGGCTTTTTAAAGCCTGACGCAACACCACGGCACCCGGAAGATGTTTAGGAAAACCAGCTGCGGGTTCAAACTGACCCCACCAGAGGGCGCGTTAACTCTCCTTCACCTCTGGAAATTAAAACGTCTTCGCAGATAATTTTGAACTGGACTTCTGAGAACTGGACATAATGCTGTAAGTTCGATAGAAGGTCAAACGCTGCGGTAGAAAAGTTTGGCCTGATGAGGATGATTTGTGAATCATGTAACCTGATCAACATAGAAGCCCACCCACCGGAGAGTTGCTTGAAATAGATTCAAGGGGCATTCGAGATCGTTTCATAAAATTTGAAAGTGTGCAAATATTCCTTAAACTTGGGTTTTCCCGGAAGTCGTGCTCCCATAGTCGCATCTTATGAGAACTTCCTATTTCTTATTTTTGAAAGAGAGCGAAACGCAAGTCGTTGCGCCTCATATGGAGCGCCAGCGACTGCATTCACCATATTAGCGCTCAGGGGTCACCATAGCACAACGGGGACTCGAACCTCGGCATTCCTACGTGGGAAACGCACTATACACTCGGCCATTACGACCCCCACATTATTAATACAAAGGCCTGTCTGATATAGATCGCCTCGAACTGTGCTTCCATCTCTCTATACACGAGGTGGCGCCACCGAGCGGTTCGACTGCACTCCGCGCGAGCCGCTGCTTGCCGGCGCTTGGAATCACTCCGTCGGCGGCCTACCACGTGCATTGAATAGGCGGTCCGACCTTCGGCGCCGGAGGCCCCTGTTAAAACTCCGATCTAAACGGACGTTGAATCGTCCCATCTTCGTCCCATTCCCGCTGAATCGTCCCAACACACTTTTGATAAAGTGAAGTTATGCTGACTGGGAGGACACACGTACCATGTGGAATGGAGTCGTAAACAAATACGGTATTTGATTTCAACACAGCTACATACAGCCATGACGTCTCTCAAAGCCGCGGCAGGGGCAGGCCTGGACACCTCCCAGGTCTGCCGCAGTTCGGTACACCTTTGAAGATCATACCATGGTAAGCAACGTGCTCGACAAGTTTGTGTGCACCAGCCTCGCTTTGCTCCAGCGGTCACTATCTCGAGCTTTGCGATGAGGTTGAACTCGTTCAGGATGATTGGGTGCGCCCCACAAACACGGCTTGTACTCAAATGAGGTGAAAGGTCCGGTACGTGCTGCCCACACGCACCATAGCTTCATTTATGCCACGGTAGTTCCACTTCTGCCACGGTGGTGTCTCCTTCTACTCCAATAGGTCAGCATATTGTTGGACTTGAGGTAGTCCCAATGGTAGGCGAGAACCAACTGGTCTTTAGTGAACGAACTGGTTCTAAGACGAAAGCCCATAAAGGCATGGCCTGTTGTGAAAGGACTTGGTCCATCACCCGGTTGTGTCATTCGAGTGGACTGGACGATCGGAATGCTGTTCCGCAGGAGGCAAGCGGGAAACACCCACAAACCAACGCCCAACGACCAATAGACCTCTCCTGCAGCCTTACCTCCTGGAAGTGGCGAACATCTTTCTCGAACTTGCGATGCATCAGGTACGTTTTGATAGACCCCAGCTGGCGTACGACGTAGAGCTTCATAAGCAGTGGCCAGCTGAGCCCGGTGCAGTACCCGCGCCGTCGGATATCCAGCATGGCCAGACCACAAATAACGACCAACACTGAAAAGTAAGCATAATAAAGCTAACGCCAGCCAGAGACATGGTTTGCTAGCTACAAAATCCCGTTTCCATGCACTTGTTTCCAAAAGTTCCCTCTTTTATGGCAAGCGTATAAAGGCGTATTTGCAAGTTCACTTTTTCTTGCGCACGAAAAAGTAACGTGCATCCATGTAAGTGCTGCAATCGCAAGACACATCTGATGCCATTCAGATTCTGACATCCCATAAGCCATGCGGCGATCGAGGCCAAGAAAAATATAAATGTCGAAGCGTTCATATCTGGCGTTCGTGAGCGCGTTTTCCAGACATCACGGTCGTCAAGTGAATCTCCATTAATGTTATGCAAGGTGCGATGAAATAATGAAACCATGACACAACGCGGAGCATATTTACTAAACATAGCTTTGTGCTGTCTAGAGCTGTCTTTTCCACTTAAAGATAAACCAATAGTTATAATTAAGCTCGTTTCATCCTACCCCATGCTTGCTTGAACATGTTCAAATGTGAGGCATTCCCTTTAACATTACCAAAGCCATCAATCGACGAGACGGGAGATGGGGCATCCCTCTCGAGTCCCCTCGAGCTCTGGCGTTCAGGTCAGAGCCAGTTTAGTACCTGACCATCTCGAAATGCACCACGCGTGCTTGTGTGAAGTGTTGCTCTTACGCGGGAGAGGTGGCTCTGAGTGCCGTGACGTCACTTACTCCGCCTCAGCATGCAGAACAGCACCGTTAATGCGGTGGGGATCGTCCATGGCCGACGCTGACTCCCGGAGTTCAGCTGTGAAAAAGCTCAACTGGAGAGCCTTGATCTGATCAGTAATCATGCCATGTCAGATTCACCGGTGGCCCGCATTGCACGGACTTAAAGGGCAGATATAATCAAATCCAGTCAGAACGCCTACAGCATGGTCTCAGCCTCACGAAGGAAACCCAATAACACTCAGCAAGATCACATTGAAGATCGCGATCGAGTCTGTGTGATATGATCTACTCCAATTCGGCATCGCAATCGAATCTGTCCGATATGACCTACTTCAATACATACGAGACGATAGAGGGATTTCCTAAGCCCTGCAAGATAGCACGGGCGCTGCAACGTTGTCCCGTCCTACCTAGAAGCGCCATGAAGTCCTATGAGCTGGATTACAACAGTGTTCCGTACAGCGATCGTCACTAGCATTGGAGTGAAGCAGCTGACTGTTGCAGGACCATGGGGGAGGTTCTCAGTCCACTGTCGCAGGACCATGGGGCAGGTTCTCAGTCCACTGTCGCAGGACCATGGGGCAGGTTCTCAGTCCACTGCAGGAGGTCACCTTGCCCCCGTTGTAGTCCTATCCATTGCACACACACCCAGCCCACCTAATTCCTCGCATAGATTCGGCTGTACTTCTGGAGCGGTGTGCAAGATAAGTAAAACAGACTTCAGATTTGTTTCACCGAGCATACCCGCTGGTAGCGCAACGAAGCCACCATTCGGCAGGGCGTGGTGCAGCGGCGCGAGCCCAATCGCGACATCACTTGATCTCTATCCCAGCCTGAAAATAAACTCATGCTCGAACTGTGTGGTGTGGTCTGTACTGATGACATGATGTTAAACAGAAGAAAGTCTTTGGTCGTCAGGATATCTGTAGCGTATCTGAGAAATGGTAGGAGCAAATTACAGTCAACGCTTATCTATTGTGAAAAACGTTTGCCATAATACTCTCCCAAAGCTGTGTTTGCAGGATACTGTGAGCACAGTTTCAACTGGGTTCGTGATTCAGTATTGGTGCGGGGCGACCGTCAATTCGTCATGTCGACTGCCGTCTCAAACGCTTCAAAGTTAGGCTGGTTTTGTGCGTCACAGTTAAAGGGAATGCTCCACATTTGAAGATATTGGAACAGGCATCAGATATGATGGAACAAGTTCGTCTATAACTGTTTGCATACCATTAGGTAGAAAAACTGCTCCAGACAAAACCATTACTTGATTTAGTTAATATGCTCCACAATACGTCCTTCATTATGGATTGCATCTTGCGTCACAATTGACGGACGTTTTATCTGAAAATCGTGGTTACGAACGCCAGACATGAACGGCTCGACCGTTACACTTATTTTTGTTTTTTATCGCTACATGGCCAATGAATTACCACGATGTGAAGGACTTTATTACGGCGTCATGTGTGCCTGGGTAACCTTGAAATAGTCTGCACGAAAAAGTCTGCACATCTTCGCAAGCGTGCCGTTCAAAAACTAGAGGGGTTTAGGTGTTAAGAAGGACAAAGCTGTGAACTGCACTGAATAGTCTTCGAGATGGCCTTTTCAGTTTTACTCCTATGCAAATGTGGAACACTCTCTTTAAGCGTGCAAGTGAGATCCATTTGGCTAGCGCACCAGGGGAAAATTTGTTGTATAGAGAACCTAGTGACTTTCTAATTTTGTTCATTGACGTCAAGGTAAGCGCTTCCATATGTTAATGGCAGCAGTGCCTCCAGCACGGACCCCAGACGATGTCCGAATCGCTTTTGACGCTCGCTGTTTGCCTATTGCATGCCTGGCCTGCGGCCGGTGGCAGCGGCCGCGCTTAAGTTCAACTGACGTCAGAGACCAGAACGGGCCGTGTCGAGCATTGCGGCACATTCAATTTTCGCCACCAAAGTCCGACGTGGACCTGGGATCGCGCGATCAGACGGTAAGTTTCTCGCTGAGATATGCAGGCCTAGCCAATCGAGCACATTTCTTGCGAGGCCGAAATGGCTCCCACACTTGAAGAGCAACCTCTCGCGTGTTATCCAATCGAAGTACTTCGGAATATCAACACGCTCGCAGGTCAGGATCAATTTGACACACCTGTAGGCTTTTCCAAAATGGCTCCCAAACGGCGCGGCGTAGCCACGCCAAATTTTGCATAGCTGTATACCGTTGAATAGTAAACCGTTTAGTATCGAAATTCATATTTACCTCATAGGGTCGCCGACCTACGGCAAGTCCAAATCACGCCATGGATCCAGCGAAGTCAATTTCTGGTGAATCGTTCAATCTGATGCAACAATGAAGACCTAGACAAAGCCTTACATCTCTGAGATACTTTCTTAGGCAGCACAGCAATTGGATAAACAAATTTCATTGACCTAAGGTCGTGTAAAATGGTCACGGCGAGGCAAGAAACTGTTTTGTTATCTAGGACTTATGGTATGCGGTCCTCTCTGGTGCTCATTTCCATTTTATTGATTACGGAAACCGCCTTATACATTTTTTATGAACTTAAAGATCAGCATAGGCTACTTACCTGAAATGACCCAGGTCAACGTTTTGTTTGTAGGAACATATTGCCTAGCGCAATCTTTGTCGTTTATTCAAGTGCAAATTCAGAGCAGTTCCGTATGATTTTGGTCGCCGTGACCTTCAAAAGGGTCAAAAAAGTTTACTGAAGTTAAATGGGCATGTGAACGTTTTCTTAGAAAAGATGTATATGTTCGGGGGGCACTTTGGATGCCAGTCCTAAGTTTTTCCTTGTTTGACCTTGTTGGACCCGGATGTCATTACCTAGCATCCTCAAGCTTTGGCCCAAGTGAGTTCACGTACAGTCCACCGCAAGTGGTGAATTTGGTGTCTCTAGCTATCTTAGTTTCTAAGATCTTAGGGGTTTAAATTGACCCCCACCCGAGCCAAAGGGTATCCAACCGGCCATCTGGGCGCGTACTAAGATACTTTAACGTGAAATAGGATTAAGGACTCGTCCAAGCTCATGCGGAGGCACGATGTCCACTTTGATTTTAGGATAGAAGCCCGTTGTTGATAAGATGCCGATAAACCCTCTTCAAAACATGACACTCAAGACGTTCGGAAAAAACCCGTCAACAACCTGATAGCTGGCTAACAGCGATACAACACTCTTTTCTATCAGCAGCTATAACTTTGAGCTTTACGAGTTGACTAGAAGTTTTCTCTCGGGCAATGACTTGAAAAAATGTTCAGAAAGAGTCAAAGGTAATATTGGAGGTGCCAGCTGCATGATTTTGCCTAGCAAATTATACTTTTCACATAAATTACCTGGTATCTGAAAGTATTTTTAGCTGGTTAAGTTTCATCATATAGGACGACATTTATTTCCATTCGCTCGTGCATGTGATATAAAACTAAGTCTCAGGGCTTTTTATCTGAGGACATATTTCTTGACCGCGGGTCTGAATGTATTACCATTTCACCCGCAAGCAGTTGTTCAAGAAAGGTTCTAACAAAAAAGTTTGTCATGAAACAGGTCTTAGTGATCGCATGGTATTGGCAGTTTTGAAATACTTAGCTAAATTCGTGTGTAAATATTCGGGGACGGCACACAATTGCATACAAAACTAAAACGAGATAGAAGAGAGTTTTCAAAACAGAAGGAGGTTGCATGCAATCATGGACCGTGCCCTAACATTCAACCAAAGCAGCTTGTTTCTGGTTCAGGTTTCTTAATATTGCGAGGAAGTCATTCACTTTTGTTTCTTTACTGATTTCGTTGCCTCATATTTGCACTCTGCTGAACAGCCCCAAAGATAAAAACGACAGAAAATCGTTGGCAGTGTTTCAGACCGCAGGTGATATTGTTGGAAGTTTCGTTACAACCGATGGTAATGCTTGGTGATTAATGACATTTGTGATAAAATGTTGCATTTCCGAAAAGTTTTGAGGTTGATAACACTCATGGTCGCAAATGGACTGTTCCCTTTAATTGCACTGTGTAAGCTCTGTAGTAGTCTGTTCATGAGTATTATTTACGATGTCATACCCAAGTTTGGTGGGCAGAATAATGTTACATTTCCACGTCCGTCGCACAAAAACATTGATAAAAAGCATGCCGCACCTGGGCCTGCTTGGCCGGAAATAACTTCCGAAGACCATCTTCACTGGGGACTTTGCGCCCTCCTTCCTTGGTCTCAGGTAGAAATTGCAACAGCAGCCTCGGTCCTGAAAAATGTGTATCAGTCCGGTATGGTGTCATATATTGGCTGTTGAAGCAAACAGGATCTTTTCAGCGCTTTGCCATGCTACGCGGTGGCGTTCCTTTGTCTTTCTTGCCTTTGCCAAACACGCGAGGAGTTTGTGAGCTTCTCTGCATTAATCAGCATTCTCTTGAGAAAGCAGCATTTTTATGCGCTTGTTACGCACGCTTTGTCTGCGTCCCTCCACCATGACCTGTCGCTTTAAAATGACTGTAAATGCTGCAGCTGTTATCGAGCGGGTGAAGTTGGATGTTACCTTGTCCTAGTGTATGATTCTGTCTCAACTGGTAAGAATGGGGGGGGGGGGGGGGGGTGTTTGGTTGGGTTTGGTCATTTACATAATTCCACAGTAAATGCCTGTTTGTTCTAGTTTTCGCTTGTGTGGTTTTCATCAGGGCGGTCAAATTTCGTAAATCATTGGGGGGGGGGGGCCGAAATGGGGTTAGGGTTTTCACCGGTGGGGGGGGGGGGGCGAACCGATCCCCTCCCCACATTTTTCTCACTGGATTGAGCCCACTTTATTGTGATAAAACGCAATGCACGTTTTCAATATTTGTAATATTTGTAAAGGTCTTTAATTTAAGCACTGTAGAAGTAATTCAGGGTTAGATCCAGGAAGCAGGCACTGCACTCACGCGTCTCTTCTGATCGGCATGTAAAGACGCTCCCTTTATGGCCACCTTAGAGCACCGATGGCGCTCTTCTATGCGGTCATGGGAGGCGGCACACATTTTGGTTACGGGGGACGGGGACGGGGTAACCCATGAATGACTTAGGTCATCCCCATATTCCAGAGTTTTTCACTTTAAACCCACAAACCATTGCGTGCCTTATGGCGCTAGGTATGTGAAGTTCATTGCATCGTTTATCCGCCCAGCTGTTACAATTTGTATCTTGTGGTGAGAGCAACCATGGCTTTTTGTTATTGGAGTGTTACGAGACGCCACTACACAGAAAGATCGGAGACAACAGTCGTTGTGCTATAGTCATCTTTTGCCCTCGTTTTTTGCAGTATTCCAGCAAAAAAAATTGGGAGGGGCGGTCAAACCAACATTGGGGGGCGCAACTCAACATAAGGGTGGGCAGGGCCCTCGCAAAAATTACAAATCGACACCCGTGGTGTCCATGATTAAAATTCAATAACTGGAGTGCAATGCGAATGCTCGGGTTCACTGATCAGCGTATAACCCTCACCTGCTCAGAACTGTGCACATCAGATCTCCTCAGAGCAGTTATGGCTTCAGACGCGAAAGATCGAGCCACTGAAGATTTAGCTGTCCAATTTTGTTGGACTACGCCTTCATTCCTTCAGGAAATGAGCAGCATCCCACCCAACTTTGCCGTCCTATCTGATGCTGCAAATTATACGGTTTTCTGTGTGGTCAGTTGATGAGGAGGCACATCTTGCCGTCCTCTCCCAGAGGTTCGTCATCCGTACCGGACGATCCGGTTTTGTCCGGACGGTTGGTGCCGGGCAGCGTATCGCGAACGCCTGGCGGCCACCGCCGAAGCTGTTCTGTTGGGGGTGGGGGGGGGGGGGGGGGGGGGGGGGAGGGGAGGGTCGAGGCGAGTGGGATGTCGCCGCTGTCGGAGGTGCCTGGAGACAGCCGGGAGGTGTGCTAGGATGTATTCGTTATAGGCTTTGGGCCAATCCCCATCCGGTTGCATGTTATCGCTATGTGGGTCATGGAAACCAGCGTGATAATGATCTGATGCAGGGGCATCACTTGAGATACCTTTCGGGATGCCTACCCTCCACCCTCCCCCATTTTTCTCGGAACCTCCTATGCGTATGTGCTTAATAGAAAAAGAAATGGGCTAAGGAAATGCAACACAATTAGGCACGCTTGGCGGTTGAACACATCACTAATGGTATGCTGATTTTGCATCACATGCTATCTTGCAGCATCTTAAGACATCTTTGTCACGCTGCCTTCCTAATTTCTTAGGGCAGTGTGTCAATGCCATCTAGTTTTTTTAGATAACGCTTCAGATCGAAATAAAAAAGGATGTAGATGCAGCAGGTATTTAAAGTATAAGGTTGTCGAATATCAGAATGTATGAACATGGCACGAACATCACGATGCATGCCAATCGTGGGGATCTTAAATTGAAACGCATGGAGCGACACACGCGGTCATGAGTATCTATCGCCACGCCCAGATCATATGTCTAAACGTTTATAATCAAACAACGTTGATCAAACAAGTCTTCCGACGACGTGTGTGTGTTCAGGCTCGAACAATAATTAGACACGCAGAAGAGTTGCAACAGTGTTGGATTTCCGGTTTGTTTTTCCATTCCTAAAACTGACATATTGAAGTTAGTACTTGTCGCAGTTATCCCTTATGATGTCTGTGCTCTCGCTGTTTTATTAATGTATTCTGGCGGAAGGTTAAACATTAGTGCTAAATAATTATTCCATGTAGTTTAACGCTCGCTGCCTCAGTTTATTTCGTTCAAAATGTAACAAGAGTTGTGTTTTCCCGTAGCTTCTGGCTTCTGTTCTAGTTAAAACAGATGAAGCTAAAACGAAGAAAATCGTTCTCCTCAAAATGAAGCGGATTATATCCAGCAATTTTCCGGGAGAATTTCACACCTACGGGCATCTTTGTCACCACTGTGCCCCTCCCCCTTACAGCGATTCTAGCTGCGCCCCTGCCCTGATGTCAATGTTTTGAAAGTGTCTGCGGCCGAGGTCACGTACCGGTGAAGAGCAGCCGCAGCAGCTCGAACAGCTCCATGGCTGCTGGTGGGCTCCCCCGACCGCTGCTCTCGTGGCCGGAGACAGGCTTTGTGTCGAACACAGACTGAACAGTGAGCCCTCCTTGCGACCGGCTTACAATTTATCAGCCGTGGCCCGAGTTATCGCTGATATCCATGCAAGAGACGCCAGATCGCCAGATTATCTGCATCGCCAACAATGTGTACTGTGAGGCTGCGATAATGGCACCTACAGCAGTGTGTGTTTTATACGCGGCACCACTCGTCACACTGCAGGCCCACAGCCTCGCAATTTCATGCATGGCAATAAGCACTTTGATGGAGAGCCTGGCGCCATGGTGGACAAGCCGACGTCCGGTACACAAGGCAGCGTACTTTATCATCTCCTCTGATGTCGTCGTCTGTTTCTGTGATTAACATAAGCTATATTTTGAGCATGATATCATGACGTCACTAAAAACAACGCAACACAAGGTGCTTTTAACACTGCGTGGTGCTACAACCATGCGTCGGTGCACTTCCGATAACAAGCTAACCTTTCTGACTTTGGCCTCACTGCGTAATAACTCCTAGCTGACACTCAGAAAGCCCCTGGCCGAAAGTGTTCCTCTTTAATTGTCCAGTGTCTTCGCTGGCCGCCCATAGCCACTTCGATGGTCGGTAGGCACCACTGATCTCTCAGTGACCCTCCGACCAACAAGGCTATTGAGAGCTCACTAGCCGCTCAACGGCCCATCTTAGTCGCCAGAGCATAGAGCCATTGAGCAGCATCCTTACGATCGTCCAGACATCCGTGGCTTTGCTAGCTGCTCAGAGCCATTTTGGTAACTCCAATGCCCTCCCACCGTCCAAAAGCCCCTCTGGCTGCTTGTGGACCCCCTGGTCACTCAGTGGCCCGCAGGTCGCTGAGGGGACATTCAGCTGCTGGGCGCCTCTCTGTGCTCAAGCTCTTGAGACCGACGACTGCTAAGGGCCTTTGCTGGCCTTCCAGAGCCCGTCTGGTCACAATCGGATACCTCTGGCCGCCAAACGCGCATCTAGTTACTGAGACCCCACTTGCCGCTCAGTCGCTTGTATGGCCGTCAGAGCCAATTTCATGCATAGCCACTGCCATCAGAGGCCACCTGGGCCGCCCAAACGCCCCCCTCCCTACCGCATCACAGTCCCTACGACATTTCGTGGCATCTTGGTCCTTCTCTGACAATTGAGACGCCCAGAAGTCACATTAAAAGCTCAAGTCCCCTTTCTTCTCCGGCCCCTTTAATCGCTCAAGAGATCTTTTGGCTTCAGGTCTGACTATTGACAGGCAGCTCTGACCACTGAAAAGGAATGCGCCTCCATGTGTTCAGAGCCCCACAAGCCATTTAGGGTCTCTTTAAGCTTCAGAGACCGCATATTCTCACAACCCTTCGAATATTCCTGGTCTTTTTTGTTGTATAGGGCCCGCTTGGGGCGTGTAACTCATAGTGCCCTTGTCGGTGCAACTACAAGGTCGGGGCTTGCAGCATGCGTGTAATTTCTAAGTGGGCCCGACGGGATACATAACCGCCAGTGCGCTTGAGAATTGCAGTTTTGCCTATAGTTTTACGGAATTTGTGGAGTGCACTTGAGACGAACATTATGCATAGAGGTAAGACGGTGGTAACAGCCTTATTTCTCGTGAAAAAAAACAACGGGAAAACAGAGCGATAGACGCGTTGGTATTTCGGCAACACGCTTTTATCGGAACGAATATTAATAGTGATATGCAAAAAAATACTGGAATAGTGATGGAGATGCTTGGGATGAAATTAATGGGGATATTGAGAATAGTGTCCCCAAATCACTACTGATATCCGGTTCAATAAAGGTATGCCTTCGAAATATCGACGCATCTATCTCTCCATTCTCCTGTTTTTTTCTGGCCATTACTACTGTCTTATCTATAGTTTTACAAAAGGATTAAAACTAGTCATTAGTTTCAGTATGTGATACCTATTCGGACTATCGTCTTGGCCTGCGGCAGTGGCAAGTACACAACTTTTCGTCCACTTCAGTTTCACCTTCCAGTTGTTAGGAATCAATAACACCTGACAACGATAGAACTGGCTGAAACGTTGTATAACTGCTACTCCAGCACACCAAACTACGGTGATAGTCCGACATATTTTTACATCCTTGGGGATTTTTTGCCTTTATGTTATCCGCAGAATGTACATACTTCGCGTTTTTCCCATCAAAATAGAATTTACAGGTCAGGCCGTTCGCTTTAAATCTGAATCACAGTCCCAATCGCAACCCTGATCTACCCGCCGCTCAATGTCGATCTCAGATTCGTGGTTACACCAATGAATATGAATCCCCACGAATAAATCAATGATCCCGTAGGCGATACTGTTCCACCAGCAGAGCGTGTTCCTGTTGAAGGGCGGGAGAGGGAAGTAACCGGCAGTGCGTGTTCCTGATCAAGAGTGAGAGAGCGAGGTGACCAGCAGTGCGTGCTCCTGATCAAGAACGAGACAGGGAGGTGACCAGCAGTGC